CACACAAAATCATAAGGGCTGGCTTAGCATAAGCGAAAGGTACCATTTTAGTAATTACGTTACATAGGGCAGCAGGTCAACATACCCACCCCATTTTTCAGAGGCTCCAACGTCAAGGCAGCTACATTTTAAAGAGCAGGTGTGTTGTACCTACTAATCCATGAAGAGAAGGGGGATGAGTGGAAGGGACTATAGAGAGTAGGCATCTGTGCCACAGAGGGCCCATCTATACTACAGTTTATAGCCAGTTCCAACAAACTGAATTCGCTGATGTGCACAACACTAAAGGAGATCTAATTTGCACACAACAGGTAAATTATGCAGCACCTGCAAATATGTGTAATAACGGACTAACCAAGCTTCAGTAGAGTGTTGGAAGGGATGCCAGAGATTTAAAAACTTCAGGTGATGTATGATACTGTGATCAGAGAAAAGCAATTTCTCATTATTTCTCATCGTTTCTTGTAAGATGGTGCTTACTATTTGCAATTTCTGGAAAACTGGTGGTAGAAATAATTCTCAAATTGTAATTTGCTTCCTGATTAATGAAGCAAATTGCCCTCACCATTAATCAAGTTGTTCTTTTTCTGCTTAAGCAACTAAACAAACTGCTGAACTAAACATCAAACTGCTGGATAGCTCTACGGTTCAGCTATCTGGCTGCAAAGCCAGATATTGGGAGTTAAATTCCTAACTATGGCCCCTTGACAAGGGCTGGAATTGATGATCCCTAGGGTCTCTTCCAGACCTGCAGATCTGAGATTCCTGCAGCTCCAGTAAGAAGAGAGATCTCTGCAGTTGTGAAGGACAGTTTATAAATTCTAGGCAGAAAGGCTTTAAAATAGGACTGATTCTATGCTCCAAACTTACAGCGTTTTCAACTTTGTGCCTTTTCATCGGGTACAGTATGAACTTTGTATTTTGACTACCTGAAAGACAGCAGCATTGTAAGAACTAGGCACCTTTTGCCATCAAAGAAAACTAGAACATATGTATGAACCTTTAATTTTAATTCACACGTCCCTTACAATATCATAATTCAGTGACTCACTCTTACAAAGGGTGCCAGTGCACAGTAAGTAACATATATTACTCAGCTGCTGAATGACCCCATCATGGTTAAACAGCACTTCTCACATTAGCCAAGGTTGGCTTTGAGCCATTTAAATTCCTTGCGTATTTTGTTACAAAGTCCTGGAGACGGTTCCTTGCATATGTCTGTGCATGCACGCATGTACGTACATAAACACCTTGTACCGGATTGTGGATTTTTCAGATAAAGGTATTTTCCTCAGCCTATAAGGGGTGGAATAATGTTAGTCTATTGTTTTAAGCTAAACCCTATTAAGACAGGTTATTGCACAATAAAATGCAATTTTTTTTGGCACTGGCATTACAGTAGTCTTACCAATTGCTTCTGCATGAAGTGTGACATAAAACTTAAAGTATAATTTTGCTACTATCCATACTATTTCATAAATGTGAATTTGAAGTTTGGAATTTTCTTTTTAAAAAGGTATTTTCTCATTTCAGCATTCAGCAATAATTTATGCAGCATTTTCTGAATGTTGAGAATGAGACTTGATTTCACTGGAGGTAAATGTGTAGATAGAATGTTGACTAGGAGGCCTGGGTTCAAATTCCTCTTTAGCCATGGAAACTCCTTGGGGAGTGGCAGTAGTTAACCGACTTCCTAAAGAATTCACATACATTGAAAACCCGATTCTGGGTTGTTTCAAGGTGGAAATGATAATAGAATCACAGAACAGCAAAGTTGGAAGGGGCCTATAAAGCCATCAGGACCAACCCCCTGCTCGATGGAGGATGCTTGATGGCATATTAAACAAATACCATATTCTTTGCTGTTCACATTCCTATAAAGAGAGAGAAAAAGGATGCTATCTTATTATTTTATTACTCCCCCCCCCCCGAATGTATAGGCTCCCTTTTTCTGTCACCTTTTTAATGGCTGGGAAAAGAGAACATTTGATTCTCCTAAAAACTATTACTCCCCTTTTGCAAGACAATAGCAAAGCTTCGTTCATCTATCCACACAGAAAAATAGGATACTGTGCTGCAGGAGGAGGCCAGATCCAGACCATTAAGTAGCTGGAGGAAATCTGATGTGTTCACATAAGAGGACGACAACAAAGGGCAGAGGCCATGGCATATAAAACAAGCTGGCCTAAATCAAGTAGTAACTTTGGCTTTCCTTTAAAGCTTACTTTGAAACTAGGGTGGCCAAACTGCAGCCCTACAAATGTTGTTGGACTACAACTCTTGCTTTCTTTACCACTGGCTATGCTGCCTTGGACTGCTGGGAGTTGCAGTCCCTTAACATCTGGAGGGCCATATTTTATCCATCCCAGCCTTAAAACCAACACCCATGTAAAAGAGTTTTCTAGCCTCAAGCCGGGCTCAGTATGGGGTACAGCTGAACAATCATGCATTTATCTATAGATGTCCCATTGATGAAGCTACTTTTCAAGTTAGATGAAAGCATGTTATCAGAATCATGATGCAGCTGCATTTCAGTGCAACCCCTGATGCACTGAGAGACTAGAGTTGGTGTTCCTCCTCAGTAATGCCAGATCTGGAACAGCTTATACTTCCATGTAATTCCAGACAAGGACGCCTGAAGAATGCTCTCGAAGCATGTTTGTAACAGCTGCTGTACTTATGAATGGGGCGCACAGTAACAGTTTTGTTGGAGTTTTGTTTTATTCCTGGAGTTCCACTTGAGAGAAAGAAGAGAGTGGAAAAACAGTTCTAGAAATATTATAGCCTGAACAATGGAAGTGGATAGTAGCATGTCCCAACAGTCAGTCCTTTCAGTAGATATGTCTGCAGCATAGTAGTATCTCATATATTCACCTGAAATACCTGTTCACTGCTGCTACACAATGCACAGAACTTCGGCTCTAGAAGCTAGAAAGAGAACACAGGGCTCTCCAGAAGTGCTAATAGACCAAGCTCTGTTAAGAGATTATCTAAAGGGTGCGTACAACTTTAAACAGGAGCAGGAGATACAAGCATAGACTGGATCAGAACTGGTGCAGCGAGGGGGAAAAGATGCAGACTCGAGTCTTTTAGAAGCAGGGAGAATAAGGCAGCTGAATTTTTGGCGATCGAAGGAAAAATCTGGAAGTAAATGCAGAGCTAGATCCAACTGTTCCCATTTCTAGCAGGTTGTTGCTCCAACCAGTTTGGCAAGAAAGTAATCTGCAGACAGCAGAAAAGGGAGGACCACTTAGCTATCAAACTTTTGCATCAGAACGTTAACCTTGGTAAGATAAAATCCATTTTCAATTTTCAGCAAAACATCCTTCCTATTTAATTGGAGAGGCTGCCTTTGGAAGAGTGACTTTATCTTTCTGGAAGAACACATGTAGAAAGTCTCCCAAGTTGAATCCCTGGAATCTTTGGTTTAAAACATGTGGCAGGAAAGAATGCCTGAGAAACTGGAAAGCCACTGCCAGACACACCAGAAAATACTGGGTAAAGAAAGGGACCAACAGGAAGCTGACTTTTACTTCTAACAGGCCCCTTTCACCATACAGGATACAGGGCACACACAATTAATTGCTAGTTTTCAATTTGCCATGCTGCTGGGGAATGCAGGGAGTTGTAGTCCAGAAACTCTACTGGTGCCAGATTAGATGGGGAGGAAAGGAAACGTACTGTATGTCTCCCCACCCTGTTTGTTATCAAGAACAAAACAAGAAAACTGTCAAGGATGGGAAGCTACTCTTTTTTTCCTTCTAACACACAGAGCCTCGAAACCTTTTCAGATACAGTGGTGCCTCGCATAATGGGCGCCCCGTTTAACGACGAATCCGTATAGCGATTAAGTTTTTGCGATCGCATTGCGATGTTTCTAATGGTAAAAAATTGCTTTGCAATGATCGGTAAGCTGTTTCGCTTACCGGTTTTCGCATAGCGATTTTTTTCTAACAGCTGATTGGCGGTTCCAAAATAGCCGCCGGGTAAAAAAATGGCCACCTGCTGTGTTTTCGCGCCCATTCCTCACTTATCGGGCAGCGAAAATGGCAGCCGTATGAAGGATTTTCACTGAACTGTGAGTTTTTTGCCCAAAGGAATGCATTAAAGGTGTTTTAATGCATTCCTATAGGCTTTTTTGTTTCGCATAGCGACGAATCCACATAGCGACAATTTTTCCGGGACGGATTATCGTCGCTATGCGGGGCACCACTGTACTTAATGTAACATGTTTGGGAGGGGGGGACTGACATTTTATTCTTAAGAAGGAATATTCCATTCTCAAATTGGATGAAACATAATTTGAAGATGGCGTTTCTTTCTAGTAACAAGTGCTACATTTAATCAAATCTGAACCTTAAGAAACTAGTATGTACTGGAACTAATATTAATTTGTATTAATTTGACAATTAGCAAATAATCCGAGATGGGCACGAACCGTTGTTTTGTCGGCTTCCCTGCCCTGCCTCTGGGTGGGTGCCTGCTGAAGGAGGCAAGGCTGGAAAGCCCCGAACACCTGCTCAGCTGAAGGACAAACTGACGACTTGTGCCCATCTTTACAAATACAGTAGTGCCTCACTTGATGACGTTAATTCATTAAAGCGAAATCGCTATAGAGCAAAATCGTCGTCAAACAAAATTTAAAAAACCATTGAAACTCATTAAAAAATGGTTAATGTGTTCCAATGGACGAAATACCTAATTGTCCAGTGAAGATCCTCCATAGGGCAGCCATTTTCCGGTGCCTGTAGAGCAAAAAATCAGTCCTAACAGCGGGGGGCTATTTTGAAACCCGACGATCAGCTGCTGGAAAATTGTAGCTAAGCGAAAAAACAAAAGTGATCGCAAAAACACTGTCGTGAAGCGGATTTGTTGTTAAATGGGGTAATCATTAAGCGGGGCACCACTGTAATCCTATACTTGAGAAACTTGCATTGGTACCCCCTGCACTGGCATTTTTGTAGGGTGCACATCTAACAAATTTTAGAGATCAGTCAATCTTTAAAAGCAGTACAAAAAGGATTTAATTTTAATTGACAAAAATTATGTCTAATGTCAACTGATAATGGCACACATGTGGCACTCCCTGAAATACAACATAAGAGCTGGACCTCCCAACCACATCAGAATCAGTTGCAGTGTGTGCTCCATTTTTAACCACTACTTTTCAAGTCTAATCTACAAGTAAATGTGAATCAGCTTTAAGAGACTGTTTTGGCCCAGATGACTTTAATTCATACATGATCTTCCAGTCAAATATTCCGCCTCAGATGGCCAGAAATAAAAGAGGTCTTCAAGGGAGAAGCCGAGTGAGAGCAAATACAAATGAAAAAGCTCAAAGAAGAAGACACACACACATTAAAGCTGTCTGGAAAAAAGCATAACATGTTTAACTAGAATTTTCAAGGGAAGGTGTAAGAAAGGTAACAGTGATGTGTCATCTACAAGTTGAATGACAGGCTGTCAAAGGCATAAGGAGGTGCAGAGAGAAGTCACAGGTGGAAGGCAGTAATCAAGGCTCTTTCAGGCACACAGAAAGCAATGAATTAGAGCTGCTCTGATTCAGGAGCAGCCTGGTTGATGCGTCTGATGGAGCACCACCATGGGACGACTCAGCACCTGGTGATTTAGTCTACTTCTCTACCACAGCAAGGCTAGCCAGCACTTACACTGAACAAATGAATCCAAACAGTTTCAGTAATACAAACAACAGTGCAATACGAGCATGAGGTACCACAGATAAACTGGAAAAGGAGGCCAATTGCCCTGCGACAAGGCCCCCCACCCCCCCCAATCCACTCCATACGAGTTTGGAGAGAACTGCTGGGAAACTGACAACATGCACACAAGACATGGAACCAAGGAAAGGACAGGTCTGGAAACCACTAGTCCAGCTGGAAAGGAGAACCGGAGCAGGTTTGCTCTGCTACAGAGCTTGCAAGTGCAGCCCCCCCCCCCCGAGGACTTGGGTTCCCAGCTGTGGAAGACCATAGCAGAGATTCCTATGAGGAAAAGAGCCAGATCTTTGGACCAAGTTACATGAGGCACAGGTCGTTTTATTTGTACTGAGCCAAAAGGAGCAAATTAATTGGGCCCCAAAGCTGATGCTTTATCCCACTGCATAAAAATAAAAGTGCTTGTATTTTTTTGTGCCTCCAGAGTGCAATGTATATTGGGAAAATTGCACAAGGGATATATAAACAAGCTTGACCTCATGCTTTCAGTGCTGCTCCACCAAACTGAGAGCCCTAGCACCTGTTTTGCAATAAGTATGATTTGCTCCCTGGCCTCCTCATGTAGTCTGTCCCTTTGGACATAAGAGAGAGAGCTCAATTTTCCAGACTTGAATATGTGCAGGCATCTGCACCACTGGCAAGCGATCCCTTTCGAGTCATCCTTTGGAATACATCATTAGGACAGACAAACAATAGCATCACTTCACTTCTTGAAGGGGGGAAAAGGGGGCATAGTGGTACAGAAGGGGGGGAAGGAGGTCCAAGAAAATGGACTCGTGTCCTACAGCAGCTCCCAACAGAAGACAAACATTCTCCAACTCCCATTCTTGCCAATTCATACCAGACCTTATTGGAGTTCGACAGATAAATTAAAGCCAGAAACCAGTATGCTACAATCAGCCATGCTGGAAACGTATATGCCAATCTAACAATTCTAGGACTTCTTTACTCCCACATTAAGCCAGTAAAGAACATAGCTGCAGCTGCTGCCTAGACGTGTTGACCACCCTGCAGGGAGTCTTTAAAATGCTGCCACCATGCTTGCAGTGCACCATGGCATCACACAGTGAGTCCGCTGGAGTGAAGGAAACAGGAGAGGGAGAACTAGGGAATGCCAGTGGCGGCTGCTCTTGTATTTCAGCTGCCATACCGCAGCTTCCCCATCCCTGGTCACCACAACCAGAACGGGTAGTCCTCAGAGGAAGTATTTGAGAATCATGAAAAAGGGCCAGGGATCAGTTTTGCTTACTTGGTTCCTAGCAGTTCTTGATGCACAGTGTTCACAAGGATGAGGCAAGGACGGGAGGGGCAGGAGAGAAAAAGAGAGGAGGGGGGAGAGAGAGAGAGAGAGGCAGAAGGGCCCCCACTCCCCTCCCAACAATTAAAAATTTACCATATGTTATATACATACATTCATAGATATATCAATATAAATATATAAAACCAACTCCAGGAGGTGAGCAGAGGGGAGGCCAGAGGCCGGGGCCAGGGCCCGCCCTGGAAGGTTTCACTAGTTCCTGCTCTCGTTTCTCTGCTTCAGAGGAAGTGTGGTTGGACGACCCCTTCCCTGTCCTCTGAAGATCTTGCCCGAGATGCCCGTTTCCCCCAGCCTGGGAGTATCTCCTCCATAGGGCAAGTGTCTTCTGTCACCCTGTAACGATGAGCCCCTACGGGTAGAGCTAGCACGTGCTACCCTGAAGACAAGCCACCGTGAGGTCTGGACCACCTCTTTCCTCGTGTCAGCTGGTGGCTCGGCCAGGCTTATGGAAAGACGGCTTGGCCGGACCTATAGGCGCGTGGGTTCCTCTTCGCTTTCACTGCAGTTTCCACAACAGTCCTGGAGAACAAAGGGAGGCGGTGGCGGCAGCAAAATAATAATAATAATAAAAAAATAAAATAAAAAAGCGGAGGGCAGCAAAAGGAAAAAGGAGAGCACACAGCAGGCACAGGGTGAGTACAGTTGTTATTCCACCAGGCAGGCAGGCACAGAAGTCTCATTCCCACCCACCCCCACCCCTACAAAAAGACACCATTTCTCAGAAATGAATGTTCAGGCCCAGCATCAAAAGTAACTCTGCTCAAGGAACTGCTCCCAAGGCAGTGCTCTTTGGCAGCCAATCTGCATGACTGGGGAGAGACTCTTGCTAGAGTTTCAGTTGGGTTTATGCACAGCCAGGCTGCGCTTTTTCCTCTCCCATTCAGTGCATATTGTAGACTGTGGAGCATTTAAATTATGTTAGGTATCAGCAAATCCACGTCAAAGGTGGGATCTTCCACAGGCCAAGTAAAACTGCAGCCAGAAAAAAAAATGCACAAGATGGAAATGTGAACTATTCAATTCATTAATTCATTTGTTCGTTCATTCGTTCACTCACTCACACACTCATTTAGAACAACTGCAACAGAACAGTGTGGCTTAGCTGCAGAAAACAGAAAAGGCCCAGAACATCAGTCCTGTTCTCAGAAAATGCTGGGGGACTTTGGATACAGGAATTAAGAGGGAAACTATTCGTTTCCCCTGTAGACAAGCTACAAAAAGGAGGCATGGCAGTAGGAGAGAAAAGATGTTTTTTTTAAAAAAAAAAATCCCACTGTCTCCATGCCAGAAGAATGAAGCAAGACATTCATGGTGCTTTGCAGGAAGCAGGATTAGTGGTTCAAGGGACATTAATGCATGCAAGCAGCATATTTTGGAGGGGAGAGGGTGGAACTGGGAGAGGGAGAAGGAGGCACTGAAGAGGCAGAGTCCTCATCCCCTTGTCTTGTCATGTCCACAGGGAGGAGTTTGGGCCGCCAGGGAGTCATTTTCCTGAGCAGAGCAGCTGGGAGAGAAGAGGTTGTTCACCTCTGGAAAGAAAATACATGCTGTAAGAGCTCCAGCCAGATTACTCTGCGCTCTCCTAAAGCCTCTCCTGGCCTGCAGAGTAAGCTGCTCAACAGAACCAGGACCCAGTAGAATGATCTGTATGGGTAGCATTCCCATATTGTATACTACCTGCAAGTATTTCCTAATGAACCCAGCATTATGGTTATGAGCCAGGCCTCTAGCATTAGAGAAACGATGCATTCTCCAAACAGATACTGGACACAAATCTACTATTTAAACCATGGAACCCTAAAAGTGAAAGAACTGGCTGGATAGCTCAGTGAGTTATGTATCCAGCTGCAGAGCCAGAGGTTGGGAGCTTGATTTCCCACTGTGCATCCCAGAACGGCCAGCCTGTGTGACCTTGGGCAAGCTGCACAGTCTCACAATACTCTCAGAAGGAGGAAATTAGTTAAACCACTTCTGTGTTTTCACTACCTAGAAAACCATGGAAAGGGTCACCCTAAGCTGGAATTGACTTGACAGAACGAAATTATTACTATTACTAAAAAAAAGAAAGGGTCAAGCATCTGAGAAGAACAAATGGGGAAACTCTTCTACACACACCTGTTCTTACTCCTCTCCAATTTCCTTAGAAATTTCTAAGGGGAGAACAGCCAACATGGGCCAACTGTATGAAGAGACTTTAAACTTCACGTGGAGGACTATTTGCCCCAGAGCCGCAAGGCTAGTCACCACCAGGAGCAAGGCTGTCTGTCAACAAGATCTCAGGAAGTCTGGAATGATTACACCATTCTAAGTATGAATGACCTGGGTACGGAGGGACCAGGTCAGCATCTGATGATCCAGGATGCTGCTGCTTTGTTATTAAGTATTCAGCCCTGGACCATTCAGAGAGCTTTTTAGTTAAGTGAAGCCATAAAGCTCTAAGGACACAATGCTCAATTGTGTGGTTATAAAAAGAAATGTAGTACAAACACATAAGAGAAGGGATCCCAGTGCAATGGGGGTTGTGTGTGTGTGTGTGTGGGAAGAGTCCCCTTTTCCTCTCAGACTCTTTACCTGTCGGCTGAAGAGACGTTGGAGTAGACCCTTTTTGGGCAAGGGAGGCTGCTGCCCCTTCCAGTCCAGATCAGGAGGTGTGGTTCCATCTGGACCAAAGACATTCAGCTCCTTGAAACACTCTGTTTCTATCATCTGGAGGGAAAAGGGGAGATCATGAAGGGCTCACCCATGACCTTCTCTACTGAGAGACCTCAGCAGCAAAGCACCTCTGTGATACTAGGCCCAAATTGCTTCTGTAAGCAATGTCTAGCTTGCCCCTTGTGGAACAGTTTTTCACCCACTCTCAGCAAAGAGCAGACGATTCAGCATGTGCTCTCTTTTCAGAAGTATCCGTCTCTACACCACCACAAAACACCTACCTCATTTTGCCAAGGAATAGGGACACTTCCTGTGGCAAATTTATGGTAGAAGTCGTGGTCTATAGGCTCCAGCTCAACCCCCTTGACTGTGGAGAACTGCTCAATGTCCAAGACATCCTTGCAATAAATAGCTTGGGGCTAGGAAGAAGGCAGAAAAGAGCACTATGAGGGGGCTTATTTCCTCCACGCGCAACAGTGATCAAAGACCACAAAGCCAAACTCTTATCTCTAAAATAGGGATGGATATCGTTAGCATCTGGATGGGAGGCCACCACATCAGACCAAGGGTCCTCAGTTCAGGCTAGAAAAGACCCCTGCCTGAAACCCAGGAGAGTTGCTGCCTGCCTTGTTAGACAGTCCCTGGGCTAGATGGGCCCATGATATGAAGCTGTATAAAGTAGCACCCAATTTCCCATACATGCATGTTGAACTTACATCAGGTTTGAATGGAGGGTCTAACATCCCAGCTTCCAAACGCTTGAAATTCAAGTATTTAAAGAGAGGATGCTCTTTCACTTCCTGGGCACCAGCACCTCGACATCCCAGGCGTTCTAGTGGATCTTTGCACAGGAGCTAAAACACAGCACAGTTAAATCAAATGAAGGCGCCTGCACTGCTCTGCAGTTTCTACAATCAGAAACAGACCTTTATCCAGGATTATAGTCAGACTGTTAAAAAAAACACCAGCATTTTCATACTATTAAAAACAAAATAAAATGGACGAAAACTTGAACCTTTCTTTGCAGTTTTGAACTGCAGAGAACATTTTGATCCTAGACTACAGAGTTCATTTATGGATTCAAATAATTGTTTGATTAAAAATGACAGAATATCACTCCTACCCTCTTCTTAAATGCCAACAACTGGTAATATGAAAATGGAAAAACAAAAAAAACTACAGGAACTTTCTAATCATCTTGACTTTTATTTATGATACATTTGCCTAGGCTTCTCTCTTCTAAGAGATGAACAACAGGAAGAAGTCTATTCCCTTTAACATTTATTTATTTCTAAACTTTATATTTCACCCTTTCAATTGGCCAATCAACATTTCCAGGGTTTAAAGGCTACCATTCATTGTAGTTACAGTACTGAAAGTAAGTATTGTATGCATTCAAGGACATAACAGGGCTACCCAATCCACATCTTGGATTGCATTCAAGACATAATGGCTACAGACCACAATGTCCTGGATGCAACATAGAAGTACAAGAACCAACCTGTATATCATGGTATAGCTACAGTAAGTTCCCTACAAGCAATGTTTCCTCTAGTTTCTCTTCACCCAACCCTCTTGTCAAAAGGAGATATAATATAGAAGGATTCAATGCACTGAAGTTGGAGGAGATGAGGAGAAAGCAGCAAAGGAAGCCTGCTCAATCTTCCTTTCCAATAGCACAGCTAGAGCTACAGTACACTGTTCCACCGGAGAATTAGGATTTCTGGGGATATATTTCATGGCACCCACAAACCACACTGAAGATAGCAGTCATCACTTTTGCAGTGGCAAAAGCAGGGGAAGTGCCTGGTGGATAGCTCAGTGGTTTAGAGAAGCAAGCAGTTGGGAGTACAATTCCCCAATGTGGCTTCTTGACAGTGTCTCGACTCGATGATACAGCATCTAATAACCTTAGAATTAGATGATGATGATGGTTCAAAAACACCAGGCACAGTCACAATTATAAAACATTGACTGGTGTTATATAACAGATAAAAGTTTTAACCAAAAACCTAAGTATCTTTTAAATCTTCTTTAAAAATTATAATGATTATAATTGTTATTATTACTACTACTACCATGGAACAGAGAGAGCGTGAAGCAGGCGAAAATTTCTCTGAGTATTCCTCCTGCACTTCTTTCACCAGCCGTTCCACTTCTTCACGCTTGATCTTCTTCCTGCGCTGCTGGAAGGGCGACTGGCCCTCAATCATCTCATAGAGCAGACATCCTAAGGCCCACCAATCAGGACTAAATGTGTACCGCTCATTCTTCACCACTTCAGGAGCTGCAGGAAGTAAGAGATACTTGATTGAGGCTTGGTGTATCTTTGCAAAATACAGAATCACCTATCAAGGGAATATGGGCAAGTTCAGTGACAGACTGACAGCTTTGCATACAGCCAAATGCAGAGTCAGTCTTTAGGGAAAGTCTGGGAAAGACTTTTGCCTAAAATCCCAAGAAGTGGCTGTTCTAAGCTAGGTGAACTAATGGTCTGACTCCATACAAGGAACCTTCCTATGATCCCAGTATCCTAAGATCAGAATGATACTTGTTCCCAGCCTCATGCTTATTGTGGTTGCAGAAGAATATGAGAAGCCGCAGTAGACAGGAATGGCTGTCACCTTCCCACAGCTGTGATTCAGAGATGAGCACAAAGAAAAGCTATCAAAACATGCACATCTGTATAACCAGGTGCTCTAGTCTCTTATTCTCATTGCCCCTTGCTGTCTCATAAATCCCATGCTCCTTTCCCTTCCAACCAAACAATGCAAGATCCATATTTGCAGAAGTTTTAAAATCAACAAACAAAGTGAGCAGGGGACAATTTATGTCATCCAGTTACAATCAAGTTTCCAGACAGCAGAATCTAGATGGTGTTGCCTCAGAATGTCCCATTACAAATCAAGGGCAAAAATGAACTCCAAATAATTTTCTTAGTTCTAACTAATTCAAACAACTTTGCTATGATCCCATATTATCTGAGGCAAGAGATGTCACCCTCCTGCACAATCTGGTAACTACAGTGGACCCTCGACTTACAGACGGCTCGACTTACAGAAAAACAATACCCTTCTGTCACCCAAAACGCAAGCAAATTGTTTCTTTGTGTACACCAGAAAAATGCTCACTCCTGCCTTCCACCCAACTTCCTCAGCTTGTCCAGCAGGGAGCAGATTAAACTACAACTGCTCAGAAATATTAGGGATGAGTTTGTTTTAGAGGAACGCGGGAGATTTTCGTTCACCTCTAAACCTGGTGGAAGTCGATGACTTTAGGACTCAAGTTCCAAGGGAAAGAGTTCCAAGTTAAGTAAATCATTTTCAAGACAGAAGCAAAGGGCATGCATTGCAATGGCAAATGCTATTTTAGTATAATCTGAAGACTTAATGTGCCCCTTTCAAGTGATACAAGCATACTAAAATTAAGCTTGGGGTTCAGGTCTTACAAAATTGCTAAACTGAAGCTTCGCTTTTACTGGGATCCTATTACCAAAGCACCTCCTTCTGCTGTGAACTACAGACTCTGAGAAGACTCTGGCGTTGATGCTGAGTCCTTGCTCTGATGGGCCTGACAGCCTCCACACTGACCCCAGTCCACTCACCAGGGCACGTCTTGGATACTCACCCATGTAGCCAACTGTTCCCACCCGACCTTTTATCGTCTGTCCCTCCGGAACATAAACAGCGAGACCCAGGTCAGAAATGCGGATGTGACCTTATTAAAGGAAAGTGAGTCATGCGAGTGTCCAGCCTGTGGATTCCCCTCAACCCAGAATAAAGTTGCAAAAAAACTGGGGGAGGCAACAATTCGCCAGAGGATCTACATTGAGACCTTTACTCACCATGGTCATCTAGCAAGATATTCTCGGGCTTCAGGTCCCTAAAAAAGGAGAAGAGATTTTGTAAGGCAAAAGGCTCTGGGTTGTTCCTTCAGGGCCAGCATACATACACGTTGCAGCAAGACTCCAGAGGTGTCAAAGAGAATCCCTACTAGTTAGAAACCCTGCACATCATGAGAAGGTATGAATCAGAATCCTCACTTACATAAAGAGGAAATTTGTCAGGCAGAACCAGTTGCCCAACTCTCGCTACCCAAAATTTTCCATGTTTCCACCAGCCTGAGAATTGAAAGGTACCAGATTTTCTTCTCCTGTTCAACAGTAACTGTGTCGACACTCAAGAGTATTATACAAATCATTTTCTTGACCAAGATGGCCAGTCTGATCTATGACTATGCATAGAGAGCACCATTCTCACCTGTACACTATCCTTTCATGGTGGAGATCTTCCAAACCACAGCATATCTCAGCAGCATAGAAAACAGCTCGTGGCTCTTCAAAACCTGCTTCTCCCATGTGATAGATATGGAACTTCAGGTCCCCGCCATTCATGAGAGTCAAGACCAAGCAGAGGGCATCTTTAGTTTCATACGCATAAGCCAAGCTCACCTACAATACAAGAAGGCTAATCAGCCTCAGACCATGCGTAGCCCAGCACCCACAGACAACAGTGCAAAACTGCATCAACTTTTGCAGTAGATAAAGCCTAGTCCATGGGGTCACGAAGAGTCGGACACGACTAAACGACTAAACGAACGAACGAACGAAAGCCTGGTATATCCTGTGCAGGAGAAACTCTGCTTCACAGCACAAGAGGAATGGGAAAACGTTCGGATGCAACCTTCAAAGGAGCACCACAAATAGCACCCAAATATGTTTTCAGTGTTGTCAAGATTGTGCCAAATGTATCTATACATTTCTTGACACAAGCAGAGTGGCAGGGGAGTGAGGGGCAACAGTAATTAGCAGATCAAACCAAACCAATCCTTCTCTACTACAGAGAATTCCTGTGGTCTTCCACTAGCCAGATCCTTAAATAAAGTCACATCTGGAAGTAGACAATGGCCGCTCTCTTACCCACCAGACTACAAATTAAAAAAACAGAAAACACAAGAGTGCACAGCTCCATTCAAGACTTTTAATGACAAACATCACAAGTCTGCCTCATTTCTCATGTGTAAAATCTGTCCAGAGATGTCTCCAAATACATTAAACACAGAGAGATTACTTGGCTTGAGGGCACATAGAGAGCCACATCCCTTTGCCACAGTGATCTGAGGCAAGAAACCACATATTGTTCTGTACAGAACACATTTCCTTTCAATGGGGGACTTTCCACCTCTTAAAGTAATATATATATAGTACTTTATTTCTCTAGATATTTATTTATTTATTTATTTATTTGATTTATACCCCGCCTATCTGGACTACTTGTCCAGAGATAGACAGATAGATAGATAGATAGATAGATAGATAGATAGATAGATAGATAGATAGATAGATAGATAGATAGATAGATAGAGAGAGAGAGAGAGAGAGAGAGAGAGAGAGAGAGAGAGAGAGAAATAAAGTATATATGTATATGTATGTATATGTATTTGTATATATATGTACACTCTCTCTCTCTCTCTCTCTCTCTCTCTCTCTCTCTTCATTAAGGAGAAATGGAAAAAAGACCCCCATTATTTATTTGTTTCCTTTCAGTAACAAATAAATAAATCCAACCAGTAATGAAATGGCTGTGTTATCATAACCCCTTAGAAGTCCTTCAGTGTATCAAGTCCTGCACAGCAAAATTCCCCAGCCCCACCAACATTTTCTGGCAACTAGTTTCAGGGCCATCTTTAACCTTTAACCTTAGTGGCAAAAGAGCCTCAAACAGTCTGATATGAGCCTGGAAGCTCAGCACTTGGTCCAGAAGGGCAAAGCCCTGTCTTCTTCTCATTCAGATGGCTAAAAAAAATAAATAATTCCACACATTGCAGTAGCTCTATCACAGGTAGGTTGGTGAGTGTTTCACTGGGGTAGACCAGAGCCAAGGGCACCACCAAGCCCTGCCTCAACCCCAGTGCAGAAGGAAAGCAGTTCCTATGTACTTACTACAAACCTACTGTTCACTTTCTCCAGGATCTGCTTCTCATTCAAAGCCATGGCTTCTCCCTTTCGTTTTTTTATCCTCTTCTTCTCAAGCTTCTTGCAGGCATACATCTTCCCAGTGGCCCGCACCTGGCAAGCACACACCTTTGAGGGAAGAAGAAAAATAATAATAATTATATAATATAAGGTAGGCAAGTCTCAGAGTTTTTATAGGCTCACTGGATCACTCTTCCTTAGGCCAAAATGTGGCAACTCAGAGATCGAATGGGTTTTATTGTGATACACTACAGCCAAAATTCTGTTGCTCAGCACAGTAAGTCACACTAGAATAGGCCCACTGAGTCAAAAGGGAGCTGGGGAGTCAACTCCTCTGCATGCTTTGTTAATTCAAATGGGTGTATTCTAACTGCAATGTACTAACACAGTGAGTTGCTGTTAGAGTAGGCCCATTTAAATCAATGGAACATACAGAGCTACCAAGTCACTAAATCTCCATTGACCTAAATGGGGCCTACTCTAGTGTGATTTACTACTCTAAGCAACAGGATTTTGGCCAATGAAAGCCTGATTTTTCCCTAGGAAAAAAATGGTTCACAGATCTGTTGCTCTGAGGAGAACAATGTAACCAAATTAACAGTTCAAATTAAACCAGACCAAATGGTTTAAGATCTGACTCCTGCTGAGTCCCTTCATAATGTTACAGTTCTTGTACCTCCTCTGTATATAAAGCACTGTTATGAGGAGCACAGGATGCTACAGTTGCCTGTCCACAATGAGACAGGTCCTTCTGAGCATCTGTATCTCAGGTAACCAGAAGTCCCTGTTCCATGCGATAGCCTCTTGGGAGCAGTCAGAGGAGCTACCTCCTCCTCAAGGTGGCTCAGATTACATACCTCTCCAAAGCCTCCCTTTCCTAGCACACGATACTGGCGGAAAGTGTTCTTGCTCACATGCTGCCTGAGAACAGATCAGAAGAAGCTAGAGTGAACTCAAAGTCATCCATTAACAGGGTGAAATAGTTCCTCACATATCCTTGAACTAAGAAACTTCTGTTCTACCATTTACATAAGCCACATACTGTATGCAGCTTTGAAGAGTTGAAATACAGCTGAGACTATGACTGCATGGATAGAAAATGCAAAAGTTAAAAACAGGCAAAGTCAGCACACATCCTGGAGAGAACTTCACCCTCTTTCTTTACAGAAAGAAAAGATTAAAAGCAAAAAAAAAGAAAAAAGAAAAGAAAAAAAAAAAAAGAAAGAGTGAGCTTTTTAAATACTGCCCCACAATGTTAGCGCACTCCCTGGGTGGTTTACAGTTTAATTATGCAGGCTACACATTGTCTCCCACCTCCCCTTCGCAAGCCAGGTACTCAATTTACCGACCTTGGAAAGATGGATGGCTGAGTCAACCTTGAGCCAGCCACCTGAGCCGGTCAGGATTAAACCCAGGTTGTGAGCAGAGTCTTTGACTACAGTAAAGGTTCCCCTTGACAATTTTTGTCCAGTCGTGTTCGACTCTAGAGGGCAGTGCTCATCCCCATTTCCAAGCCACTGAGCCAGCATTTTTGTCCAAAGACAATCTTCCCTGGTCACATGGCCAGTGAGACTTTCGACACACCAAGGTGGTCCCTATTTATCTACTTGCATTTTTTGCATGCTTTCGAACCGCTAGGTTGGCGGGAGCTGGGACAAGCGACGGGCGCTCACTCAGTCGTGTGGATTCGATCTTAGACTGCTTGGTCTTCTGACCCTGCAGCACAGGCTTCTGCAGTTTAGCCCGCAGCGCCACCACGTCCTGCGCAGCGCCACCACATCCCGTGACTACAGTACTGCAGCTTAAATACTGTGCCACGAGGCTCACAAGGGTATGAGATATATTCTTTACATCAGAGGTCCCCAATACCCAGACCGCGGCCTGGTGCCGGTCTGTGGCCTGAGCCAGACCATGCCGCGTAGATAGACCTCCTGCCCCACCCCCTGCACGCACTCACCCCCGCACAGCTGATTCGCATGTGTGCACTCGTGCTGCCATTTGTGCATGTGCACGAGTGAGCACGCACCTACACAAGAGCCGCACCGCCGTTGTGCATGCACACTCTTGTGCTTATTTGCGCATACGTGTGAGCGTGGGATGTGCCCCGCCTTCCCCAACCAGTCTGCGGGATGAAAACGGCTGGGGACCCCTGCATTACATCATATAGCAAGTGCTAAATTTTTCAAAAGCCAGTCCACATACAGGACTTCGGTGGGTACCTTTCTAGGTATTTCCACTGCAGGAAACGGTTGAAGTAAATGCTGTCAAGGTAATCAGCAAAAGGTGCCATGCTAAGGTAGTCATGGATGAGCCTAGGGAAAGGAAGCAGGCTTTGTTAAAGAGAGCATGATCTTCCTGCACAAGAAAATAAAAAGCGTGGAGCTTGAGGTTCCTCTGGACCAAGAGTGGACTATCCAGAATAAGCTTGAAACTACCCAAGTGCCCTGAAGACCTCTTGGCTCGGTGAGGCAAGGATGAAGGTTTCAAGGCCAGTAGACATCATGGAAAATCCAGAGAAATTAATAGTCAATCTGGGCAGCACTTCAAGGGCAAACTCTCCTAACAAGACACACTCTTGACTCATACACCACAACTGCTTATGATTCTGCCAGAACCTCTTGCAGAGCTGCAATAGCAAAACCTAAGAACTGAAAGTAGAATTAGACTGGCTGGTGCAGCAAGATGAAAGCAGAAGCAGAGTGTACCAGACAAAGTTTGCTCTGAAGAAGTTTCTTGTTAGTGTCACCTACAACTACTGTCGTCAGTTTCACGGACATCACAATATTCTCTGCAGCCATCCCAAAATCACTTTCCAGAGAAAGCCTGGACAGATGTCAACTGCCAAGGAATTATGAGAGATTCAAAAGCCAGGTCTTCCTTATTTCTTGGTTTCCTTCTGACTTTTTTCCTGCTTGAATCAAGGTGGCATGTTTATGGCTTCCAGGCAGCCTCCCATCCAAGTGACGATCAAATACAGACCTCCTTAGCTTCAGCAAAGGTCGCTGCACCACATGCCTTCAGACTTCAAACGAAATGCCTTGTTCTCAAAGGAGGCACAACACAAGTGAAAAGAAGGTCTCTTCCTCTGGACTATCACAGCAGGCTGGAATGACTGCTCTGCCACCAAGAGTGGAGCAAACCAGCTCACAACTTAAACGTTATTAAGGACACACACTCTCTCACACACAAATACATCTACCCCCTTTCTAATACAAGATGTTTGTTGGCTCTCCAGCATCCAGAAAATAATACTCGTGCGACCAGTTCCAAGATTTGTTGGTGACAAATAACCTCCTCCATTAGACAAACATTAGGTAACAGTCAGACCTCACGGAGTAGTCAGTGAACAGTGCCCTAGGAAATGTGGACACCATAAAACAAATGCCTCCCAATCCCCCCACTCACTTGGTAGATTCCTTAAAGAGCTCTTTACCAGGTTCCTGCTCCAGTCGCTCAGAGCATAGATTTACTAGTTCCACAGGCACTTCAGGCACGTGGTCCGCACTCTGAGGAGGAAGGTCAAACAGGAGAATCAGAGTGGTGCCGGTACTGCTAGCAAGTATCACCAGGCTGATACCAGGTATGAGGAAAGCCCAAGGAAGGTACCCTTCAGGCCCTCAGGACCCACCAGCAAGTTTACCAGGGGAGGCAGCCACAGGGAGAAACAACAGGACGAGGCTGCTGCAGGCCCTCCCGTCCCTCTCCTCCCATTTTAAAGACCAGAGAACAAAACCACATCAAGCTTGCCAGGATGGCACTTTGGAGAGGCTGCAGCACTCTATCAGAGCCCAGCAATGAAATGGACAGCTGCATCAGCCACCGTCTTCTTGTTTCCGAAGGCAGCAGTGCTACATCAGGGGCAAGGGCCAGAGGCAGAAGACTGGGGGGTAGGTGGGGACAGACAGTGCCTGGCCCAGGGCCTCCTTTCTCACGACGTAAGGTATGTATGTATGTATGTATGTATGTATGTATGTATGTGTGTATGTATGAAGCATATCTCTCTCCAGTATTAAGAGACACAATACTAAAAATTAAAATTATTGTAAATTATTGCAATATTTTTATATGCAAAAATGAAAAACCTAAGGTATGGATATCAGAACTGCTAACTCTTTTGTGGGCCCTAGAATTGGCCAGGGATGTCACCTACTAAAACCAGGTCTTCGCAGAGATGTTCTCTTTATGTGGGCAGTTTAAAGGCATACATTTCACTCTGTTCCATTAGGTTAAGTACACCTAGGGCACTAGGGCACTAACCGCACCTCACTGAAAGGGTATTCTTTGCTTGGCTACTCTAAAATGAGAAGATTCTCACCGTGGGAGTCAAGTATGTTTCGATCAGGCGCTGCCCGCACTCTTTCCGTTTCTCATCAGGGGTGACTTCATATTCTGCCTGTATGCAGAGAGAAGATGGAAGTGTCACCATTACTCCAATTAGGAATAAAAATACAGACATCATCTGAAACAAACCCCCACTTTCCTGCAGTGAGAGAGACCAGAGAACATCTTTCATCATGGATCACAGGATCCCTTGCAGAGAACTCAGCGTCCTGATCCTTTTCAGATATTTTAAACTACAACAGACGGGATTCAACCCTCAATGGAATATGGAGACTAGGGTAATAGCAGGACTGTACATGCCAAGATTCCTTGATTGCAAGCCATCACGAACGAGCGCATCCACGTGGGGTTGTGCTTACCACAGCATCCAGAAACTTAACACAGTGCATAAGCTCAAGTCGGGTTTCACAGAACTGCCGGAAGAGGCAGCGGCCAATGGGCTGTTTTTCACACAAGCTGTGGTAGTCCCGTTCTGGAAAGAGAATAAGCATTAATCAGTACCAAGGAACTAACCCATTCCAGACAGGTCTAAGTACTTCTGTCAACTCTGACTTGACCAGAGGGAGGGAAGATAAATGACATTCAGCTCCCTGATTAAACTGTATTACCAGGACTTCTGTTTCTGCAGGACTCACTAGTCCCGGCAAGTCTCCTGATGGAAGAGCACAAGCTTATAAATCTGATTTCTGCAGAGAAGCAACAGGCCAGCCTCCTCAGTATAGAATATCCTGTTGAATTTGGTATGATCCTAACCACACAAGATGCAGAGACATGGTAGTTGTGAGGGTTCGTTTGTAGGGGGGCTTCAGTCACACCAAATAAAGTATGAGGCTGTTTAAACGTAACAATATTGTCTTCATTTATTAAACCAGCAACATTAACAGGAACTTGTGTGTAGGTTCTAAAGTCTCTTGCTGTTTGAAACGTGACTGCAAGGGTGTCCAAATGTTATTAACAAAATGGTTCAATTCGTCAAACTCCCATGGTCCCGATAACACCTTCTCAGGAACCTCTGGGTCTCCATCGTCTCCCTCCGATGCTAGTAAGGGTAGGGTTTCCTCTTCTCCGGTCCAACCCCAGAGTGGGGACCCCTCTCTCGGACTGGCCAGCCACGGTCCGGGAAGACTCCCATCTTCTGGAGTTCGGAAAGATGCCATGATTTCTTGGCTTTAATTTCTCGAGCTACCGCTTCTCGTTCCTCTCTCAGACGGCGACGGCACTCTTCAGCCTCTGTCTCTCCCCAGTAAGAGGATCGAGTTCTGGGCCTCCGCCGTTCAGCCTCCTCATGAGGCTCCCGAGACCAAGTCCTGGGTATCCACCCCTTGATGTTTCTGTCCCTCTCTGTCTCTCAGCTCCTCCAGTTCTTTAGTGTCTACCTTCTTAATTTCCTTCCTAGGTGGAGAAGGCAGAGGAGTGGTCTGAGTTTCTTTAGAGTGAGATGGGCGGCACGGCACTCCTACAAATGCTTCCTGGCCCTGGCCTGGGGCTTCACAGTAGTAAGAGGTAGCTAGAAACAAAGACAAGGGGCAAGGCCAGGAGAGTAACATCCTGCATGAAAGAACTTGGCAGTTTCATGTGCAGAGAGCAGGTATTTTAGGCTTGAGGAAGCCTTTACCTTTTATTCTCTTGCAGACACCAATTGTGCCCCATCTGGTACAGTACTTCCTTCCTGGCCCTGGCCTGGGGCTTCACAGTAGTAAGAGGTAGCTAGAAACAAAGACAAGGGGCAAGGCCAGGAGAGTAACATCCTGCATGAAAGAACTTGGCAGTTTCATGTGCAGAGAGCAGGTATTTTAGGCTTGAGGAAGCCTTTACCTTTTATTCTCTTGCAGACACCAATTGTGCCCCATCTGGTACAGTACTTCTAAAATGCAGAGAGTTCTGTTCCCATACTTCTGTCTGTCTGTGTCCTTCAGTTCTAACAGTGCTAAATGTGGTGACTTGATTGTCAGTCTTGGAGAAACCTTGTATCAACATCACCCAGTAATCTCCACAAGAAAGAGTTTGAACCCACCTCTCTCCCTTCACCTCTGTTATCTGCCTCAGAGGATTATTTAGAAGGTAATGATACGTACACCACACACTAAAACCACCTGGAGCTCTTTGGATGAAGGCAATGATAAAATGTCATAAATGAGACAAATCATGATTTTTGTTTTATGAAGAAAGAACTTGCAACTTGCCCAAGTCCATTTCAAAAATCTGATGCTGAAACTGGTATTAAGTCTCCTGGCAGAAGCCTCCAACTGGGACATGCAGCCTCTAAAATAAACTTTTTTGGGCTCAAAGATATCTCTGGTGCACTCTAGTAGACATGGTGGATGATTTTGCCATGTAGAATCAAGCTGCGCGGCTGGTGAGTTGGTGGGGCCACTAGGGAACACATCAGGCCAATTCTGTTCAAATTGCATTGGCTACCGGTCACTGCCTGGGCCCAATTCAAAGTGCTTGTTTTGACATATAAAGCCCTTAAACGGCTTGGGCCCTGGATAGGACCACCTCCTTCCATATACACCTTGCCGGCGATAAAGATCTAGCCAAGGGGCCCTTTTGAAAGAGCAGTCCCTCAGTGAAGTGAGAGGGATGGCTTGTAGACAAAGGGCCTTTTCAGCAGCTGCCCCAGACTATGGAACGCCCTCCCGAGGAAGATTTGTCTGGTGCCAAAGTTGATGACGTTTTGGCACCAGGTCAAAACCTTCCTGTTCCAGAAGATTTAAATTTAACTAATATCAACTGTGGGTCCTGATGGCAATTTTTAGAGTACTGTATTTTAAATTGTATTTTAATTGTTTTATACAGTGGTGCCTCACGAGACGAACGCTCGCGGGTCAAAAAACCCGCAAGACAAATGGTTTTTGTGATCGCTATGGTGCCTCGCAAGACGGCTTCTTCTATGGCTGTGCTTCGCAAGACAAATGTTTTTCGCAAGGCCAATGCTTCGCAAGACGAATGAATTATTTTCGTCTTGCGAGATTCCCATAGGAATGCATTACAATGCATTCCTATGGGAAACCACTTTTAGCAAGACATTGCTACTCGTGGAACGAATTACATTCGTCTTGTATCTATTATATTTAAATTGTTCTAAGCCGCCCAGAGACCTTTGGGTAGTGTGGGTACCATATACGCTAAATAAATCAATCATATCATCCTGAAGGCAAAACAGTTAAATGAAAGTTCAAATTTTGCACTTTCCCTGCCTCCCACGTGGTTTTTTTTTCAGTTCTTAACTCAAATCTAAGTATGTAAGTCAAGTCAATATTTTCCTATGAGAGCGGTTCTTAAGTCAAAATGTTCTTAACTCAAGCCGTTCTTAAGTCAAGACCCCACTGTATTATATTTAAATTGTTCTAAGCCGCCCAGAGACCTTTGGGTAGTGTGGGTGCCATATAAATAAATCATATCATCCTGAAGCCAGGCACTGGTCTTTCTAGGAGGGGGCAGGGCAATATTCTGCCTCTGAGGGTTCACAGACAATCAAAAATGCCCTCAAACTATTAAAAATGAAATGAAGTGGCTAGAAATTTAATGCTAGTTTTAATACCACCTCCTCCTTTTATCCACTGCTAAACAGTGCAGGCATTTAAAACCTATTTAAAAGAGGAATAGCTACTCCTAAAAGCTTTCAAGAAGGGCAATTCACATTTATTTGCTGGAAAAAGGGAAGTCCAGGTAGGAGCTGAGAGCCACAAAAACAGCCTTGGGGGACTGCATTCTGCACATCCGTGCTCTAAGCACTACAGAATCAACATGCAACTAATGCAAGTTCTCACAGAGGCCAAAGTCTGCAGAGCAACTTAAATCAGTGTTCAACTCTTTGGCTAGTATCCTTTGTTTCCTTTACTAGACAAATTTTATTTTATTTTACTTTGCTAAACAAAAGCAAAAAAGGCAAGACAAAATTTTGGTTGAGTTAAAGTAGACACACCCACCAACTACCTACTGATATCATTTTCATCAATAATTATGGATTTCATATCCTGTCCACAGCTTCACTAAAGCCTGTAGGACTGTGGGCTCTTGGGGTATACTCGAGCCAATACAGCGCTATAGTATGCATTATTTCTGGGCTTGGGTCTAAGCTGGTCTCTGATGAGGAAGAACAGTCCCTTTCTGGTAAAAACTATCTTATCTGACAAGTGGATGGCTGTGTGCCCCTTAAAAATGTTTTTGCAACATTAAATCAATAACTATTAGCGGTTCTTGTAAATATTGGCCACAGTGTCCAATGTTTCCAACGAACATGTGTAGTACCTCATAATCCTGTCCACCTTACTGTAATCATCAGTATAGTCATCATTTCCTAGGAAGCTTCTTTTCTATAAATCACCCGCCCCCAACTCTTTTACGAGGCATATTATGAGTACTTCTGTTCTCCGTGCAGCAGTTTCTCTGAAGGAAGCTGTGGTTTCCTGATTTGTCAATATACTCAAAGAAAACAACGCCACCCAGAAAGCAAGGGAGGGGAAGGGAAAGGGGCCATATGCAAGCGGCACCATTTCCTTCTCTGACAGGAAGTGAGTGTATTGAATGAAGGAAGGTGAAGGGTTCAGGGCATGGCAATGCTAGAGAAACCTTCAGTGTTCTACTGCAGGGCTTGGCAGACTTTACATTGGTGGGACCTACTTTGTTTTTGTTTTTCAACAGAAGCTTGAGACCCACCAAGCAAAGCCAGGTGCAGGACAGTTGACCAGGGAGATGGGTGAAAAACCACAGCTTCCTTGGAACATGTGATCTGCCCAGATTTGGTTTTCAGTACTAGAATTTGAGCTCTTCCACAGAAATGCTTTTATGTAGAAATCCATTCCTGAAAAAGCAAGTTATGTGAATTGGAGGAGCTGCCAAAAAAAGAAAAACGGGGAGAAAAAAAGGGAAGCGGGGAACCAGAATGATTGAGGAACTGGAGCAGCTGCTCTGCAAAGAAAGTATACAACATTTAGGACTGTTGTATAAGGATATCTACGAAAGGAAAATCATAACATGCTGCTTATATACTGCCCTTTAGTGCTTAAAGCACTCTCTGGGCAGTTCACAATTTTAATTATGCAGGCTACACATTGGCTGCCGCTGCCACCCCTCCACCCCCTCCCAGTAAGCTGGGTACTCAATTTACTGCCCTTGGGAGGATGGAAGGCTGAGTGAGCCTCGAGCTGGCTACCTGGGATTGCACTTGGGTTGTGAGCAGAGTGCTGGCTGCAGTACTGCAGTTTAATTACTGTGCCATGAGACTCCTTTACATATACAATGGATAAGTAAAGGGAGACATAATACAGATGTACAAAATTATGCATCATGGTGTGGAAACAGTAAATAAGGAGATATTTTCTCCCTTTCATAATACTAGAATCCAGAGTCATCCATTGACGTTGGAAGGTGGGAGATTCAAAAGTACGATTTCTTCACACAGTTCACACTGAAAACATGTTCTGTGACGCTAAGCTGAAGCACTAGGAAACAGTCAATTTTAAGCAAAAGTGGCCTAAAAGCTCCATAACAAGATGGATCTATCAAAAGTTAAATGTATGAGTTAACAAAAAAAGAAGACAGCTCTTGTCAGTCTTCTGAATCCCAAGAAAGGTCCCCATAGGAGGCTACTTTCAGAGAATAAAACATGTCTATAGGCTACTCCACATATTACAGGAGGCCACTTATATGTCGGAAAGCATACAAAGGCCAATCAATGACTCGCCATACAGTGTGGACCTCTTTTACAAACAGTAGGCTCCCTTGTACAGTTTTGGTATCTGTTATCTAAGAGCACTAAAGAAATGTCATTGAAAAGGGCACATTTTGGCAAGGCTGCACACTGGGTATTATAAAGAGATTGAGACAGAACAGCCATTTCACAAGGAAATCGGATGGAACATTGCAATAGCAAAGACGGAGGAGAGAAGAAAAGCTACCCTGGCTACATCAGGCCAGTTCTCTAACTTCCAAGAGGTCAAGTGGCTAAGCTATGCAGAAAACATCTGAATTTCAAAAGTCAGCACTGGAATACTGGCAGAGCACCAGCAGTGAATTTTCATCTTCCAGCAAACACAAGATAATGCACACCAGAAGGAATAATTAAGTGAAGCCACTCAAAGAAAAAGCCTGGATATCATATGGGCAATGCTAGGAAGCCCTTCCCCAGTCCACATTTGTGAGCAACAGACAAAACATACAGGAGAGAAAATGAACTGAATAGGTCCGAGGGGGTCACATTTTGCCCACTGATGGGCAGGGTCATAGCTTACAACTAAAGCATGCATCTTGCAAGCATACAAACTATCCTGGGCTTAATCTTTGTACTTCCAAATAGTTCTGGGAAATACGCTGGATCAGTGGTTCTTAACCTTTCTTACTCAGGTGTTTTTGAACTGCAACTCCCAGAAACCCCAGCCAGCAGAGCTGATGGTGAAGGCTTTTGGGAGTTGCAGCCCAAAAACATCTGAGTAACAAAGGTTAAGAACCAGTGTGCTGGATGATGGTGATCAAACTGAAACTAAATCCTGACTAGACAGAGGTGCTGCTGAAGAGCAGAAAGTGTGATTTGGGAAATTGGATTCAACCTGTTCTGGAAGGGGTCACACTCCCCCTGGTAGGTCAGGTTCATAATTTGGGGTGATTGCTCCATGACTCTGCACAGTCGCTGGACTCCCACATGGCATCAGTGATGAGGAGTGCCCTTGCACAACTCTGCTTAGTGTTCCAGCTACGACCTTTCCTGAATTGGCCTGATTAGCAACAGTAATTCATGTCTTAGTTACACCATGTCTTTACTACTACAATGTGCTATACATGGAGCTACCCTTGAAGAGCATCTGAGATTTTCAATTGGCTTCTGAGTGGTGCACAATATTATGATTGTATGGCCTCAATACTAGAAGACCTGCACTGGTTGCCAGTTGCCTTCTGGGCCCTATTCAAGGTGTTTGCTTTAGGCTTCAAAGCCCTAACCAGGTTGGTGTGTCATTATGAGTCTGCAGGAGAGACTCTCTGAAAATATCAGTCAGTTTCAGAAGCCCACCTAACAAGCACGTGGGAGAGGGCCTTCTCCCGTGCAGCTTCTAGACTATGGAATTCACTCACTAATGTTAACACTGCAAGCTGATCAGAAGCACAAAAATAAACCAGTGCCCAACCTATCAGCTTCTCTATTTAATGTTTTAAAAGGCTTTTTTAAAAAAAGCTGGGCATCCAGAATTCCTTCAAACAGAGCAAAACACTGCTCAAAACTTTGGCAAGTGAGAGACCTAATACCACAGTAAGAGAAAACTTACTCAGAAAAAATAATACAGCACTATAATACAGCATATCCATATCTAAAATCAAACAGCAAAATCTGGGTTCACTGTAGAAAGACTAGAATCCGAGTCAGATGTAAAAGACTTTCTTTTAAAAATTTAATGCAAGTCATCTGATCCTAGGAAAAAGAATAACCTCTGAGATCTGTGAGGAAGCTGATATTTCTACCTTGCACTTAATAAGCACAGAGGTTTTGAAGGAGGCCTGGCTCAGCAAGTCTTGCTTGTGACAAGAAACCGAAGCTATATATTCATTAACTGAGTGACACCCTAATCTGTGTGCCACCCTTTTCTGCACTTGAAGCATTTTGCATAAGCTGATCCTCCCAACAATTCCTTTACTACCAATGACTTTAAGTACAGCTATGGAATGTGTGGGTCTCCAGATGCTGTCAGAAATTCCCACCAGTCCTGGCCAGCACAGCTAATGAGCTGATGGGGACAGCAGCCCAATGGCACTGGTAAAACCACATCTCTGATTTACAGGAAGTCCGAAAGAAAAAGTCAATGCCTTTCATCACAGCCAGGTCCTTGAGATAGGACACCGATTGCAAGACAGAAACCACATAAGAAACTGCTATAGCTGCAATTGAGAAATGAAGCTTGACTTAGAAGACTGCGTGATTTCAACTTGCTGAGCAGGACTTCATCTGTTTTCTCAAATCATCTGTATCCGGGACATGGCCAAACAGCCCGAAAAACCTACAACGAAGACTTCATCTATTGGCAGGAAACAGATTACCAGGTCAACTTGCATATGTAGGAGACAAACAGGTTATTTTTATATTTCTTATACACCTCAAAGTTCTCCAGAATTAGGAAGGACATGGCTGGTGTTGCACAGAAAGAATCTGGATCCTAGAAGAGGGAAAGAAGTGCTGGTGATGTCCCAGAGACAGCAATGGAAGCCACCTCCACTGGAAGAAGAGCAAACCGGCTGCTTCAAATGAGGCCAAAGGTGCTTTGAGGAGCGAAAAGAGGGAAGGCTGCGAAGACTAAAGGACACTGTCCTTCCACCTGCCTTCTCTGCTCTCAAAGCTCACCTAGTAAGGAGGAGATTAATACAGATTGTCCATCCAATGCTTTGCTTTCCTTCCCTTTTTACAGAGGGCACTAGATCAGGAAAGAGTTTAATGTCCATTTTGGACACACAAGGTGCACTTTTGAAAATGCTGGCCTTTACCTAAGATACATCGGGCAATTCTGCTTCTTAGCTGGTCAGATTGCTGATCCAGCCCGGTTCTGTCTACCCTCGGCAGAAGTTTCTTTCAGGATCTCTAAGAGGTCTTCTTCCAATCTGCTATCCAAGACTGCATCTGGAGCCAAATCCATTCAAATTTGTCCCTTCTGCTGTTACCAGAGAAGAGACGGTAAGACAGGTAGCTTCAGGAGAACTACCCACCCACTGGCTCCTTGGAGTGCAGTTAGACTAACATTATAGTAGGATGGACTGACGATTGTATAAACTTTGATTTGGCGTAGTGCTGTAGTAGTAGTAGCAGCAGTAGTATCAGCAGCAGCAACAACAATAATATGCCCTCAAGTCAATTCTGACTTATGGCAAGCCTTTTCAGGATTTTCCAGGTGCAGAGTACTCAGAAGTGTACTTCTGGGCACACTCTGAGACTGTGCAACCTGCTCAAGGCTTACACAGGCCAGTTCTACTCGCAGGAGGCACAGCGGAGAACTGAACTCTCAACCTCTGGTTCTCCAGCCAGCAACCTAAACCAATGAGCTATCCAGCCAGATTATCATGTATTGAATTGCCACCTTTGTCTTATTTGCATTTTCAGTTTATATGCTTTCTAATAAATTGTGTCTCTTGATAAATTCATCATTGTGAACCGCTTATGGCACCGTTTTACTGCAGAGAAGTAGTAAGTAAATATATGCAATATAATCAGGGGGTTGGACTAGGAGGCCTTATAAACCCCTTCCAACTCTATTATTCTACAATTCTATGATCCTAACATCTATCTATGATAACCTGACACATATATGAACAAGTGTGGATGACAACAGCCTACATGAGCAAACGTCTGTGTCAAGCAGTCATTTCCACCCCTACTGCTCTGCCTCCAGGGTGGAGGCCTCCAGGGCAAGGCGGAGAAAATAGCAGTGAGCCTCAAAGGTATGACTCCTCACCCAATGTATGCCGAAGATCTTCACACTGGCTGATGTGTGGGAACTGGAGCATTTGGCGCCATTTTTTACTCTTTCCCTTTCGGTTTCCACCTCCACCTGCGTGAGACATAAAAATAACAGTAGATATACGTATATAGAAAAGCCACAAGAAAACCAGAAAGAGATGCTGAACAAATTACACAACCTACAATGTCCCATTTTTCATCATCTTGATGAATTCACTTGAAAGACAGCTAGGAAAGAGCTGGACCAGACCTACTACAAGTCTTTTCCTCATATTGTCCACTGCAGCATTTAAGATGAGGCCATCCCACAGATACAGAAAGCAAACTTCAAAAGTAGGTGGTTGTGGTGGTGAGTGTGGCTAAGATCATAAACTACCTTCCTGTAACTAACCTTTGCTCCACAAATACATCCTCATATTGTCCACTGCAGCATTTAAGAAGATGAGGCCAAACTTCAAGAGTAGGTGGTGGTGGTGGTGAGTGTGGCTAAGATCACAAACTACCTTCCTGTAACTAACCTTTGCTCCACAAATACAAGTGATGCCCTGAAATATGATCTCCAGGATTATCTTCAATATCACAATTACCATTATTAGAGTCTGGTCATTGGAAGCCAGGTGTTTTTGTTCTATTTTTGTTCCATTTTGTTTTTTTTTTCTGGTCTGTAGGTCAATTCTCCGGCTGCAAGTGGAATCTAAATTTTGTGGCCAGAGAAGTCTGTAACTTGAAAAGTCTGTAAGTTGAGTCGTCTGTAAGTCAAGGGTCCACTGTATTAGAGTCTGGTCATTGGAAGCCAAGTCTTTTTACATGATAAGAAAAGGAATCTCTTGTAGAAGAATGAGTGTTAAGATACAACCATTCCTAAATTCCTCCTTAGTGCTGAGACTGACTCATAGGGCAGCCATAAGTTAATCACTTGCATTTGAGACGCTAAATAGGGGCTCTTCCATCTCAGGAATGGAATGATGGCTAATTAGCAGTTTAGAAACAAAAGGCTAAGATTTTGAGTGCTTGTAAGAGTTATCAGGGTTAATTGCCCTGTCATTTCAGCCTGTTCTCTGGTTTTATTATGAACAGTGTGAATGAAAGATACTGCAGACTGTGTACAGACCTCCCACTCCTCCTACTATGACAAAAGAAGAAACAAACCTACAGAGCAGCAACCTTCTTGTCACCCAACCAAGTGATATAATTGGACCTTTGTATGACTGTCCTGAGTAACGGCTCCCAGACTGCATTAACCTACACAGATCCCTTTTTTGAAAAATGTAGTTTTCCTTCCCACAACAATTAAAAGGGAACAGGACAGTTACAATCTGAACACCCTCACAGCAAGAAACTTAGGGGTGAGGAACAGTGACACGCAGGATCATCTCATGATTGGGTACCAGTGGCCAGTTCTTCTTGCCACACTTCCAGCATATAAACATAAGAAGGAGCTGTGTTTGTCAGTTCGTTCCTAAGCAGTATCAGTCAAGACATCTGAAACCACTCAGCAAAGCTCCAGTGTGGTTAAACTGTTCACTGCTATGCAGATTTCCTGCGAAACCATTTACAATAGAATATTCAAATGAAGCAGGTTAAGGGAAGAGAACAGCCAGCTGTACAACGGTCTGTCTCTTTGTAGGCCACTGAAGCCTTCCTCGCCCTCTTCACTGTCCGTTCAAAAAGCCTACCTTCCTCAATCCAAGTGCTTGTCACACAGTAGACCCAATTGAAAAACTACTGAGTGATAATTCAACACTTGTATAAATCTTGTTGATTCAGTTGAAACCAGAAACTGGATTTAGGCTTTGGGAGTCAATCCAACCCCACTGTGATCAGTATGAACAAACTCAACAGGAGATGGGTAGCATTCTAGAAAACAAGGCTCAACATTTCAAAGAAGTAACACTGTGGATAACATGATTACATTGGAAGTAAGAGCTTGAGCGGTACCAGTCTGACAAATTACAGTGGGGTCTTGACTTGAGAACTTAATCCGTATTGGAAGGCGGTTCTCAAGTCAAAAAGTCTGTAAGTCAAGTCTCCATTGACCTACAGTGCATTGAAAACCGATTAATCCCGTAACAGGCCATTTTTGTTCCATTTTGGTTTTTTCTGGTCTGTAAGTCAAATCTCAGTCTGCAAGTCAAACCTAAATTTTGCAGCCAGAGAAGTCTGTAACTCAAAAAGTCTGTAAGTCAAGCCGTCTGTAAGTCAAGGGTCCACTGTAATGGAGGCCAGAACAGTGCAGCTTTGTGACAATACTGTACAATTACCTTTTGCCAAGGTTGATTTTGACTTATGGTAACCTGAAGTAGTTTGCCCTTTCCTTCTCTTGAGGTGTTCTGGCTGGTTCTTCTCTTGGGAAGCACAATGGCGAACTCGAACTCCCCACCTCTGGCTCTTTGCCAGGTGTTCCATTTATTTTTTACTTTTTAAAGAATATTTTTACCCTGCCTTTATCCTTAAAAAGGGCTCAAGGTAGTTTACATCATCAAAATACAATATTTAAAACTAAAAACAATACAAACACTAAAAAGGATCAAATACCACTCTGTGAAATGGTAAACAAAAGCAATACTAAAAACACATTCAAAGCAGTAAGGTAAAACAATCCATTAAAAAATCCCACTCAGGCAGCTAGACACTGAGGGAAAGCTTGCTTGAAGAGAAAGGTATTTGCCTGCTTGTGGAAGGACAGAAAAGATGGGGCCAGTCTGGCTTCCTGTGGGAGGGAGTTCCAAAGTCTGGGAGTAGTGACAGAGAAGACCCTGTCCTGTGTCCCCACTAAACACACCTGTGAAGGTGGTGGGACTGAGATAAAGGCTTCTCCTGATGATCTTAACACCCAAACAGGCTCACATTGGGAGATGCAGTCCTTGAACTAGCTTGGACCCATTTAGGGCTTTATAGGCTAAAACCAGCACTTTGGATTGTGCCTGGAAATGGATTGGAAGCCAACGGAGCTACTGTAACAGGGAGATTATGTGATCCCTATAACCAGCCCCTGTCAGCAATCTGGCCTGCTGAAATGTCTTAACACTTACCATAGGCAGCCCCACTTAGAGCACATTACAGTAATCCAGCTGGGATGTAACTAAGCCATGTTGTCACCATGGCCACATCAAACCTCTCCAGCAACAGGAACAGCTGGCATACTAGTTTTAACAGTGCAAAGACACTCCTGGCCATCACTGAAACCTGGGCACTGAGGGTCAGAGAAAAATCCAAGAACAACCCCAAGCTGTGCCCCAGTGCTATAAGAGGGAGTGTAACCCCATCCCTGTTCCTTGATCTGTCTTTCAACCTCTGTCTTGTCTGGATTAAGTTTCAATTAATTCACCCTCATCTAATCCATTACTGATAACAGACACTGATTTAGAGCCAAAACAGCTCACTGTGCTACACTCTAAATATTTCAGCTTCACTGGCAACTTAACCATGGGGTACAGAAAGCTGGGAGAAGAGAGGAAGAATACATAAGGACAGCACACATCATGTCCTTTGCTTAGTCCCCCTCTCAAGAAAACGGGTATTGCTTAAATCAGGCCAGCAGTTGTGCCATATGATTAACTGTAGAAATGTAGGAAGGAAGTGAATCAAGGTAGTGGGCAGCCAGCTGCACAATACTTTTAACTGCAGCTGTACCGAAGGGAAGGGCCAAGTGACAAAGGACGAGGATGTAGGCCTTGCAGAGAGGTCCCTACACTATCATGCCAATGATGGAAGTCTCCAGAGCTGATATATTTTCCCTTTGCAAGAGAGATACATCAGAAAGATAAGGAGAAGGAAGAACAGCAGTTTGACAGTTCCCTGCAATCTTATCTCAGCTGAACACAGTCACCAAAGCAGAAGCCTTACGAAAGGACAGGGCGACCGCGGCTGTCCTCTTGCACTCCCTCCCGTCCCACAAGTCACAAAAGATCCCTTTCATCAGCAGTTGAAAGTGGGATTCACTTAGTACGCAACCCAACTTCCTAGGAATCTCTCCTTTAAAAAGTCAACAATATACTACAATAGTTCTTCACTGATCCCTAAGGGTAAGACTGGCTTTTCAAATTGTACTAAATATCTTCAAGCATATGGATGACTCTGGAAAGTTTCCAAAAGTTAACTGGAGGGGTGCCTCAATACTTCCTACAACTTTAATCTAATTGATCAGAAGAAACAGAATTCAGAAAAATCAGGAAATGTACAACCCTAACAGAAACATCAGAATTCATAATGATTCCCAGTCAATTTTTGAATTTATTTTTTACCTTAGCAAAGCGTGGGAGTTTGCATGCACAGTATATACATCACCCACCATTCAGTCTCCATCTGCTTAATATTTGTAAACTGTATTCTCAGTCCTGCCCAACACAAAAGGTATACTTGAAGCAAGCATGCCCAGGAGGTATACTGTGTTTCCCCGAAAATAGGAAAAGGTCTTATATTAATTTTTGCTCCCAAAAATGCATTAGGGCTTATTTTCAGGGGATATTTTGTTTTTTTCATGTACAACAATCTACATTTATTCAAATACAGCCATGTCATCTTCTTCTGGTTGCTACACAATGGTGGAGGGAGGGGTTTCACTTAACTAGGGCTTATTTTAGGGGTAGGCCTTATATTACAAGCATCCTGAAAAATCATACTAGGGCTTATTTTCAGGGAAACGGTAGATCACAGCCTTGGCATGGCAGAATGGACTGGAATAGAGTAGCATTAATGAGCAAAAAGGAACATATCAGGAGCAGAATATGCCAGGGCCAGAAAAACATGGAGGGACAAGTTACAGAGGGATGTCCTCTGTAGATGCCGGCCACAGAGACTGGTGAAATATTAGGAAGAACAACCTTCAGAACACGGCCAAAGAGCCTGAAAAACCCACAACAACCATTACAGAGGGATGCTTCTCTTAACAGCACTAGAGAGGATTTGATACCTTGTCCAGCACTGAGGGGCACTCAACTGAAGAAGGCATTCCTCTTCATACAGGGAAATATGCTATGCAAGAACCACACAAACTGTGTACAACAACCAGCCATACACCTTATTCATTCCACACTGGCAAGCTGCAAAGCAATAACTACTTGCTAAGGTTTGGTACTGTACAGTATTTGGCTTTTGTTTTAGTGCATATACATTTACTGGAATATTGGTTTGCTAGTAAACATACAGACAGACAATTTCCCCTGCAAATAAGTGATTCCTGTAGAGGAAAATTGTCACATTTTAAGTGGTTCTTAAAAGCCATGTTGGAATTTTATGATGAGCTCAAAGGCTGCTCTTCATTTACACAGTCGCTTAAGATCCATTACAATAAAGCTCATATAGATGGATAGAAACAAATATAAGTGGTTACTGGACATAGAGCACTTCTTCTAGAATACTACTATAGCCTGTTCTGAACAATATAAATAGCTGCAAAAATGAAACAGCACATCAATCTATATCTGGCAAAATAATGCTGTGCTACTAGTCAGCCAAGAGGTTAGCCCTGCTAGGCTTTTGCAACAAAATAACCAATAATCTTCTGGCACCCAGTAGATAAGAGTGGGCAGTTTCAATGGAGGGGGGCAGCTTTCTATCGCCAAGATATTTTGGAGAAGGGGGCTCAGAGATCACCAAAAATGCAACCCCACCCCAAACTGAACTGGACATAGCTAGAAGTATTTTTGGTGTTGATAGTACAAGGGGACAGATCGCTGGGGAAACTCATTCTTTTGGCTTAAGGAAGGAAGCCTAATTGGGGTGGGAGCAGGTGGTGAACCCTTTGTGCTCCCCATCATAAGCTAAGATACATATTGTAAGAGAACCTGTCATGTACAGCCCATGTCACTAGATTCTCTCCTCCCCCCCCCCCAGTATCCAGGAAACAGTTCTAGAGAGGCTAGAAGAGGGGAGAAAGTAACGAAATTTCACAAGTGCTAGCAACCTCAACCATTTGGGGGTGATGAAGAACTCCTGCCTGCTTACCCTCATGTGTTCATAATTGTGAAACAGGTTTAAAATCACAAGATCTGAATCCTTCCTGTTATTATCTGAGCTTTCAGAACTCACTACCCCTCTACTGTAAAGAAGGGTATTAAGATATTGCAAGGATGCTAACCTATATACTCTCACCTGCAAGTAGGGTCCAGTGAACTAACTGGATGTATGCCTGACCTGACATTCATTCATTGTTAAAAGCAGAAGCCAAGTTCCTTAGGATCTTGGCAAGAGCTCCAATGTACATACCACATAAATGTCTGCAGCACAGGCCTTTTAGGCTGACCACCCTAATGGCAAACATTTAATGGACAGAGTTTAAATTGTACCATTATCCATTTGGATAATGACCTAGTGCCAGAAGTAGAGGGGAACCCTAGGTTCCTGCCAGAAAAACTTTCAGATATAATGGCCTTATACCTGCTTTTAAAATGGATCAGCATTTTATGGCAAATCACTCCTAAGTTGCCAAATCAAACGCAGCTGAAGAAGCCCTTCCTTCTCTGTGACAGCTTTAAATTTAACAATGCTGAATTATATGTCCACATTTCCAACTCTCTTCTCTAATGGTTAAGAACTTTTTTCACCCAAATCAATTGTTTTAGCACCTTAGAACTACAGTGGTGCCTCGCATACAGCTGAAGCATCGCTGAACGGGGCAGCGATTTCCATTGGAATGCATTAAACATCGTTTAATGCGTTCCAAATAGGCCAAATACTCACCGTTCAGCGAAGCTTCAGGATGGCCGGCAGCCATTTTCGCGCCCTCGCCTCGCTTAACGAGGGCGCGAAAATGCTACGCGCGGCCATTTTAGGCCATTTCCCGGCTTCTGGTGGCCATTTTGGCCGCCGAACAGCTGATCGTCGGGGTTCGTTTTGCGAAGATCGGTAAGCGAAACGCTTACCGGTCTTCGCAAAGCGAATTTAGCCCCATTAGAAAAACGTTGAGCGATTGCATTAGCGATCCGAAAAAACGGATCGCTATGCGATTTCATCGTTATACGGTGCGCTCGTTAAGCGAGGCACCACTGTATTGACATTTTTCACTTCACTATTCAGCCAATTACCAACCACAAAGGATCTGTCATAAATCAAGAATCCTGCATCCTCACATTGTATACTTACTTCTTGCTGCCCATCATTCAGTGTACATGTGTGCTTTAACATAGTAATGAAAACTATTGAATATTCCTCTGTAGTAATTCTAAATTTCAGGTTGTTAATATTTTTTTTAAAAGTCTTTAAAGGACAATTGTTCCAAATTAAAAAAAAAACTACTCAATGATCAATAAACATGTGCTTCTCTGAAAGAAAAACAAAACAAAAACAGACTCCTTGCCAGAGATGCAGACCCTACAAAGACCTTAAAAGATCTCTTTTAGTTCACCCTACATTACAGATTTTCCATTCCTGCAATACTTACCACATAAAAAGCACCAAAGTTTAAGACACAGCCTGCTGTCTTTTATCCAAAAGCCCCACTAAACATAACGACACTTCTCCGTAAGGATCCACAGGTTATGGCTTTACTCTCATTGCACAGAGATTATATATCCTTAGACAACAAGAAAAAAAACTACAAAACACCCACAAAAGAACACGTCACATGGTTCAACATACATGGATAATAAACAGATGGTAAGCTGATAGCTTTATTTACACTCTCCTTACACAAGAGATGCCAGAGCACTCTCCCTAGTCTCCCAATTCAGAATCTTTAGCCTATTTCACATTATGTCACATACAGACACAATCAAAAGAGCATGCTGTATTTTACTCAGTCAGAAGCAACATCAGAAAGGAAAAATCTTTCACGTTGCAGCTCATGCAAAGTCATTGTCCCACTGCAGACGTTTATCCAAAAGTGGGAGTTTTCTGCTCTTAATTTGGTACCAGATTCAGAACTCAGAATCCTAAGACTTCTAGCTTTCATTTACCTGTGTCTAATGCTTAGAGAAAACTCTAGGAATGAATCAGAGAGAAATGAGTCTTTTGATCATCCAGTGGTGTGACTCCAGTGCTCTGCATAGACATTTGTTCATGACTAGAAGAAGCTGAACACAAAATACATGTACAAATACATCTAGATCCATACAGAGAGATGTTTGTGAAACCATGTATGGCCTTGTCAACCCTCCCCCTTACAAAAGACAATAATTCCTTTAATATATATCCGAGACCACAAAACACATGCAGGTACAATGGCAGATTTGCAATGGCAAGTACTGTACGTATATAGACTTCTAGTGGTGCTGCCTGTTGGATGGTGTTTTACTTGCCAAGATTTGCAGCTCTTCTCAAATAATTTTTAAAAAACTAATCTGGAGTTTGAGGAAGCAAAATATGAACCTGTACTTCAGGATGGTGTCCAAAGATGTGGAAAACAGCACATGAAGTAGTGAAAGGGTAGCTTAATCTTCTGTTTCATCCGTTTTCCTATCCATGTGCAATTAAAAAATGTACCATCTTATATTCTTTAATCAGTGTTGCCAATGTTTTGCAGACTCTGAACAAACATAAATTAATGTTAAGGAGGCATGAAAACCATCACAAGATGAAGCCTGGTAAGAGGCCCCAAACCTGATTTTTTCAAGTTAATAAGGAAAAATAAGATCCCTCAACCTTTTATTACCTAGCCCTATCCTGTTCAATGCAGCAAAACATTCCAACTCCATTATTCTATTATTATGAGTAGGCTGGCTGGATAGCTCAGTGAGTTAGTTATCTGGCTACAGAGCCAGGGGTGGGGAGTTCAATCCCCCACTGTGTCTCCCAGTAGAGCCAGCCTGTGTAGTCTTGAGCAAGCTACACAGTCCAAGAATGACCTCAGAAGGGAATGGTAAACCATTTCTGAGTACTCCCTACCTAAAGAGCTCCTGAAAAGGAGTCAGAATCGATCGAATGGCACATGATTGTCACTTTATGATTATGGAATGGTAGACAGAATCCAACGTCAGTTCCCCAATATTTCTGCTTCTCTGTGGCAAGAGAAGCCACAGAGAAGCCTCTGTGTCCCTATGGGAAAACTCACATCAGCTGCACTCCCACATGAACAAACTCCTGATGCTCCAGCTACAGTTAAATGGCAGGATGCATAATACAGTACTGTAATTCTGTCCGTCCAGAAGTTTAGAGGAAGACTTCCTCTCCTATCACTATTTCTCAATCTGTGGGGAAAATGTGCAATTTAAGAGGGCTGGCTTCTTCTGGTCTTAGATAAGGTCTCTAGAACAGGATAAGGGCCTTCATCAAGAAGCCACCACATCACAGCCTGACAAAAGCCACTCACTATAGTGTCTCCAACAAGCAATATTATGCCACAGCCAATAAAAGGCATTTTGCTGCATTTCTCATTTTGGACTCATATTCACCACTTCGTGGCCAAGCTCTTGCACCAGGCCTCCAACCCCACCCCACCCCACGCTTGATGCTCTGTGGTCCAGAAACTCTGCAGTTCTGGACTCTTAAGATATTACATAGAAATCTGATTTGCAGGCGAGATTAAATTTTTAAAAAAAGACCCACTCGTCAGGTCACCACCACCACCACCCTTCTGCCTCCTTCCCACGACTAACACATGGCAAGGGTCGTGTCCAGCACTCCTCCGTGGACCACCATACGCCAGGTTTACACCTCACGGGGTGGGGTGGGGAAAGCAGTTTCTGTGGCGGGTGATGTCTCGCCCTTCCTTCCTTCCTTCCTTCCTTCCTTCCTTCTCTCTCTCTCTTTCTCCCCCCCGCCGGGGCACTGCAAGACCGGCGGCGGCCACCACCGTTGCTCTCCCACCTCAGCCAGGCACGCCGCTCTTGAGCCAAAGGGGTGCGCAGGAGGAAGGGAGAATGCTGGGCCGGCAAGGGCAGGGCAGGACCCGACCCCGACCCCGGCCTTCGCCCACCCTAGGAGAGTGCCCCGGGTGTGCGGGGGCAGAGCAGGCGGCTTCCTCTCCCGCTCTCCCGCTCGCTCGTTCAACCCTCCCGGCCCTTCCGAGCTCAGGAGGGCGCTCCGGGAGCCACCGGCCAGGTCCTCACCCTCGCGCGCCTTGAGCAGCACCGTGTTGGCCACGATGTTCTCCAGCTCCATTGGGGCCCGCCTGCCCGAGGCGCCCCGGCCACGGCTGCCACTGCTGTTGCTGCTCCTGCCGCCACGGCCGCGCTTCGTCAACCCGCACCTCCGCCCGCGGAGTCCGGCACCTCGGCTACCTCCATGCTAACCCCGCCCCCTGCTCTCGAACGCTTCAGTCAATCCCGGCGAGGAACCAGCCCGCACGGAGCTCTCATTGGCTCGGAGCGTTCCCCCCCGCCTTTTTTTCTCTTGCCCTTCTGTTTCATTGGCTGGCGAAAGGGAGGGAAGGAGGGGAGGCAGGGAAGGAGTGCGCTGCGAGAGGAGGCAGAGAGCGCTCTGCGCGTCATTGGTTTAAAACTGCCGTCGCGGGGGTGGGAAAGGCGTTGTGTGTGAGGGCGGGGAGGGGGGGGGAACTGTGGAAAGGAAAGCTGCCAATCGGGTCGTTGTGGGAAGGGGACTGGACAGGCTTGAGCGGAGGTGCTGCCCTAACCTACCCTCCCGGTTGGAAACCTCTCCTATTGGGGCTATGGGATTGGAGGAGACGTTGCTCGTCAGAGATGACGGCGGAGACGTCAGAGGTCCTTTCGACGGGCCTGAAAGAGGGTGCCCCCTAGCCATGTGCTCTGAATGCAGAGGAACGGAGGCGCGGTGGGTTGTGCAACGAGGAGCTGGTGCGTTTTCACGGGTGAAGAGTCAGATTTATGGTTTGGAGCAGCTCGGTTCCGTAGATGTTTTTACTTGAAGCATAAACTGGTTTTTAGAATTGAAATATGTGTACATTTTAATCCTCTTGTATTATGTTTTTAATTCAGCACTTTGTAGAAAGTATGTATTTGTATCTGTACTTTTTAAATTTGCTAGTTCTGTGGATGTTCAGTTGGCTCCAAGCAAGTGTATAATTTTATATTTATACCTATGTTTTAAATCTGTGTATGTTGGATGACCAAAGTGGTCAAAACAATAAAGCAAAGCATAAACTGCCACCCAGTTCACTGGAAACTGCTTTAGCCAGAATTAATTTGCGTAAGATTACAGCCCGAAAGGGGAAATAATTCAGAAAGAGCTTTTCCTCTTGCACTTCGAACTAATCTATATGAGAGCTAAAACAAGCTCAAATGTTGTAGTCCCTTAAAGACTGGCAGGTCTTACTTGACAGCGTTTTGAAGACCAAAGCTTTTTTCTTCGGATGTGCCCGAAACATGTGCATGTTGTGCCCCCTGTGAAAATGCTCAGGCCTAACCCCTCTCATGTAAGAACCTCCAACAGGGTGACCCTATTAGTCTTTTGCAACAAAACCAAGAACGAGTCTTCTGGCTCCTTAAAAATATGAGATGTGCATCAGAGAGAGTGGGCCACAGTCCATGAAACCTTCCAGCAAATAAGAAGCAGCTGCCTCTTAGAAGCAAAACTGCCTCCCCAAAAGGAAAAGGGGTGGGGGAAACACATACACGAAGATGAAGACTAATTTATTTCAGTGTGAACTTTTGTGGATCGAAGTCCATGTGTCTGTGGAAGGAAACTTTGTTTCCACGAAAGCTCATGCTGAAATAAAAATTTTAGTTTTTAAAGTGCTACAATATGTTGTGTTTTTTCTCTTTGGAACAGATCTTTGGGTGTCGTGAAAGCAATTTTCTCCTTGCCTCCTGCTCTGAGAGGTACTTGCCTGTACACCTGTGTGAGATCTCAAGAGCTTAAATATCTGCATTCTCCTAATTTCTCCAGGAGATCATCTCTGGCATATGATACATGTCAGATTTGGAGACAGCATTGAGCCTTCAAAAATGTGCAAAAACCAACACCACCATCAGGGTTTGGTAGTACTACAAAAACTATGAGCAGGCTCTAATTTTGCCATATTGGCAAACTCTTTCCCTATTATTTGTTCAGCTGATGAAGTACAGTACACTTGTACTTCCAGGTCTGTTAGAGACAATGCATCATTGAATTCCTTTTCTAACAGTTTTACCTGATTTGGGAGTAGTAGTTGGTGGTTTATTTCCAATTCTTTCTGTTCTACTACCTCCATGGCTTCAAATCTTCAATTTATTTCTTCAGTTTCTCCAAATAACTTTTTTCTTTCCCTCCAAATACGTAAAAGATTAACATGAAATATTCAAAGGGGTTTGTGTCTGTCCGACATTCTAATTTTGTAATCCACAGGATCCACCCTTTGTATCACCTCATAGAGTCCCTGGCATTTCACAAATAATTTAGCTGAGTCTGAAGGTAACAAAAGTAAGACACTCTGTCCTAGTTCAGATTGTCTGGGTTTGACTTTTTTGTCATAGTTTCTTGTTTGTGATTCCTGAGCTCTCCCTAGGCTTCCTTTGGCCAGTTCTGCCACCACCACCACCATCATCATCATCAGTAGTAGTAGTAGTAGTAGTTGTTGTCGTCGTTGTTTTATTTATATGCCACATTTCTCCCAAAAAGGGACTCAAAGCGGTTCGCAACATTAAAATTCACATAATTAAAAACACAATAAGTTAAATATTAAAAAACAAACAATATATTATTTAAAATAAAATAAAAACATGAAAAACATTAAAATTTTTTGCTAAAATGGGGTTCAGGGATTCAATTGTTAAAAGCCTGCCTGAAGAGATAGGTCTTTAGCTTTTTTCGAAAGGATAACAGGGAACAGGCCATCCTGATTTCCCGAGGAAGAGCGTTCCATAGCCTGGGAGCTGCCACAGAGAAGGGCCTCTCCCGTGTCCCCATCAGCCTCTCTGATAATCTTAATCACCAAGAAGGTGCATATAGGGAGATACGGTCCTTCAGGTAGCCTGGACCAAAGCTGTATATGGCTTTATAGATAATTACCAGCACTTCAAATTGGGCCCGGAAACGGACTGGTAGTGCAGTTCTTGTAACAGGTGCGTTATATGCTCCCTGTATCTGGCCCCAGTCAGTAGTCTGGCTGCAGAGTTTTGCACCAGCTGAAGTTTCTGAACCATCTTCAAAGGCAGCCCCACACAGAACACGTTACAGTAATCCAAATGGGATGTAACTAAGGCATGTATCACTGTAACCAAATCCAACATCTCAAGGAACGGGTGCAGCTGGTGCACCAGCTGTAGCTGTGCAAATGCATTCCTGGCCACTGCTGAGACCTGGCCAAGCTTAGGGATGAATACAGGAGTACATCCAGGAGTACACATGCCATAGGTTTGCCATCACGGTCTAGACCAACCCGGTCAAAGGGTTTGTCCACTAGGGGCATAAGGATCAGTAGAGTACCTGAACCTGGTTTGTTTTGAGTTAGCTAACATTCTGGAGAGGACTGACAATATTCCTCAACTTCCTTATTCTTACCAGGCCTCTGAAATCTTTGGGGCATTCTGGCTAATAGCTTCCCTGGAGCTAACTGTCCAATCAGGGGTGTGCCATGAGCTAAATGTAAAAGTTCTCTTTTTAACTTTTGGGGAAATTCCAGTTGTGAGCCTCCTTGTTGAATTATTCTGTATAACAAACTTCCCTGGAGCTCAAGCCCAGTCATTCCCTCCCAGATAGATCCCTCAGTTCCACCTCTTATATTAGTGGTTAGGGTCATCTTATTGCCAGTTTCTTAATTGATTATGAGTCACCCCTTCCACTGAGTTACTTTTCTCCAAGGGCTCCATAGTATGTCTTGCAGGGCCTCTTTATTCCCAGTCAGGTACTCAGTTCGCTCCCAGTCTCTCCTTGAGAACCATTTCTCAGACTAAATCATGGACCACAACCAATGGTGGGAGTTGCTGATAAATCTGCCCAGGCTGTTGGGTAGGATTTAACACCCCCATGGGCTCACCGTACCATTAACCACTCCAGTGAAAGTGTGCTCTGCAGTTCCTGCACCAGAGTCTTCCTGCAACCTGTGTCTACTAAAGCCCTTTTCTTTTCTCCATTTACTACAATTTCTACTTCCCATCCTGGGTGTCCCTCTTCACCAACCTGAACAGATGCCATGTAGTTAGCTGCCCAGGAGCAATCGGCTATAGGACATTTCTTTTCATGGTGTCTTTCTTGACTCTATCAATAACAAATGTTCTTTTTCACCTTCTTGGCGGCCCATCCTGATGGAGGACATAAAATCAGTGGGTCCAAGGTGACTGCAGGACACGACTGACATACTCCTGTGGAATTCCAAATTTAGGTCATTCTGGATACAATCACCTGGATATGGGAGGATATGGGTCTCAAGAAGACAGTCCAACAACTGGGGAGTTTGCTATCTTCTTATTCCTCGTCTTTTCCTGCAGAGAGGCAGAGGTGTAGCCAGTCCCTTCCTCTGCATTCCCAAAAGCTTCCAGTTGGTGTACTGCTTCCTCTAGGGACGAAGGTCAATATTTTTTCACTCAACTGCAGGGAGCTGGATCCAGGATTGATACAAGTTGTTCCATGACCACAAGCGCCACCAACTGATCAGCAGACTTCCCTACAGGTTTCAGCCACCACAGAACATTGACCTTCATTTGTTGTGACGGGATGAGGGTGCACACCAGGTCTCATTAATAGTTCTTGGAAGTGTTTTTGATAAGACTTCATTCAAACTTAGAGTGTGGAGGATCACAGTCTTTACAGCCTCATACTGTGTTGCCTCTGAAGGCATGAGAGTATCTACTACTTCTTATAAAATTCCAGTTAAATGGGGAAGAGTATTAGGCCTCAAGGTTCCAGTGGCTGGCCTCCCACCGTAGCTATCCTCTCAAATATATGCAGGTACGCCTCGGGGGTCATTGGATACCCTCATCTTTTGTACCCATAATGGAGCAGGACCACTGGCCCAGACGTTCCTTTGGGAGTTGTTGACGGATGTTGCTTGGACTTGAGGCTTGGGTTTGTCTCTTCTGTCAGTGCTCAGTTTGAAATGAGAAATTGGTTCAACAAGTCTTTTTGTTGTTCGGCCATTTTCTCAATCACCTTCTCTTGTCAGTCCAATATTAGTTATTGTAACCATGAAGAGCTTACTTCAGGGACAGTCAGAACCGCCCTACATTAGGTGCCATTGTGACTGGGTCTACTTCAGTATTTATTTAAAGTGGTTCCACCAATATCCCTTAGGGGGCTCTTAGACTTCTTTCTTAACAAACAATATCTTATTAACTGAAAAATGTGGTTCTTCAACAATACCTTAAAAGGGTCCCATTTCACCTTGTAACTGTTGAGACCTTAACCATCTGCCCTGTACCCCATTATAAATTGCCTTTTCT